CTAATACCTCGCGACTAACTAATACTTAAGTAATACTAAGTACGAATAACTACTACGTCCGTAACGTTTACGTTAACGTACGTATATAAGTACAGACTAGTAGTAGTCCTCCACCTCTCTCTCTCTCTCTCTCTCTCTCTCTCTCTCTCTCTCTCTCACAGTAATAACCAACTTTACAAAGATATTTTGGGGATCATATGAGAACTTCAGCAACTAGAGACCCTTCAACTCAATGAAAATCCTAAATTCCCCACTCAAGCAATGAGGTCTAGGAATCTCTCATTTCTAGAGAGAGATCAAAGAAGGAAATGAGGTCTAGGTTTAAGGTTTGGAGAGATTTAAGGTGGTTAGGCATTTTTCCTCTTTCACAATGTCTAATTACCATCACTTGTGGGCAATGATGTAAACATGCCGAGGTCACTCAAGACTCACCTGAGTTGGTTCAGCTATGGGCCCTAGTGAGTATCAGGCCAAAAAATGGGAGATCGAGCAAGTCACACCTTATTTTGGTTTTCTTTGTTATTTTCTTTATAGACTCAACCTAGTCTTGATCAGAGTGAACCAAGTCGAACCCAATGACTCAGGCTTGGGACCCTAGCAACTCCCAAACAAAGTCTGGGTTTTAAAACACTACTTGTGGGATCCATCATAGAGGAAGAGATCCTTGTGGGTTAATGGCTTCAACAAACAAAAGAGGTCAATAATCTTATCTGTATAAATATTCCAGCCAAACATCTAACAAAGTTGTGCTATTGATGACATACTAATTAAGATAAGTAATAATCCTAACACATACTTTGTTTTCATTTCAAACAAGGTCTTAGTGTGTAGTGCAATTATTAAGTTACTTTGAGGCTAGTTTGGTGCCCATGTATTGTTAACCCTCATGTTATAACAAAACCTTTCGTCTCCAATCTGCTCTTGCTTTGGCTCAGGAGTGTCCTTATGCATGATTTTTAAATGGTAAGGCTTCCAACTCATCGCCAAAACCAAGGTATTTTATCTGATTTCGTTCCTCTCATGACAAGCATAGTATTATTAGCAGCAAGGGTTTGTACCCTAGTTCTAAACTAGGCACAAAACTGATCTCAACTAAACTAGGACTGCTTCGTGTTTCTAATTCTTTTCTCAATGCCTAATTTTACCAAAATTTTGTTATCCATTTCGTAGCTCACTCACTGTTTCTATATTCATGCTTGCTACTATTATTGTGAAGGATGCGAGGACAATCAAAGCGATAGAAAAAGGTAAAAAATTTCGGGGAATAAATGCACCGCAGTCTAGTCCGCAAACAGAATTGTTGCAAATGACACCTTTTGCTAATTAATAGTAAGATCTATGAGCTCTCACTTCTACATTTGGATAAAAACTGTCACAATGTTCACTAGTAAACTTCAATAAATTCAAACACCTAAACTGACTAGATCAATCAGATTATCGATGCATATTTTCAAAAGCCCCAAGGCATGTGAATAACCGGGAATGTCTTACAACCACCCCATTTTATACTGGTCCTTAAATTTTACAGCTTTCATAAATAAATCCCGAGTTCCACATTGCTATATTAAAAAGAAAGAAAGAACAACCATAATTTCTTTGAGAGACCCAGGGAATCTCTCAAATGCAAATTATTTTAATATCAGTGAAAAGAAAGGTCAATTATTTATAGTGGAGAGGCACGAAAGAGACCTGTAACAAGAGGGAGCAATAACATCAACTAGGTCATTTGCTGGCAGGCAGAAATAAGGAACCTGTTTCAAGAAAACTTTTAGAGTGAGAAAAAGGACTATTGGTAAGACATGCAAAAAAGGAAAAAGAAACAAAAGGAAATTGAAGCGATACAGTACCTCCTCAATATGTCCATCCAAATGCTTCAAATGGACCTATTCCAAGGCGCACTTTCTCAAAGAATATCCAAATAAAAGATTTCTTAGGAATAATCAGATCATTAAATCTCATTTTGAGCGAATCCTATATAAAGAGTATCAAAGTAACTTAAAAACAGGATAGAAACATAAAGGAGTTTGTACTGTTTGTGTGAAAATTATAAAGAAATTGTACAAGAAGTGTTTGATGTACATTGCTCTTTGCAAGTAATGAGAACGTATTTTGGATTGTAATTGTACAAGAAGTGTTTGATGTAAGCTGTATGATAATTGTATGTTGCCGACTTTTAAGCATGGATTGTGTTGTATGTAAGCAAATCTCATTTATGTCCAAATGAATAGAAATCATGTTGGGGATGTTTTGAGTTGTTTTTTATCCTCTTTTATTGCAGTAATTCAGTGAGAGGAGTGATTGTATCAGTGTGATATTATTGCAGTAATTCAGTGTGTACTTTTATGAGAAAGTGTACGCAATCAAGGTTTATATAAGTCTCTTGTAAATTTTTTAAAATGTTGTATCCTAAAAGATTGGTATCTACACCTAGCATTTGGGAGGTTATCTAGCCCGAAATGCGAGAGACCAAAACAGCCCTCGGCTATATCTCCAACCACAACGGGGGTAAAAAATTGTGACAGAATAAGTTTGCTCAATATAGCTGCCAATGAGGCAGGCCAAGCAATGAGGCCATGGGCTGCTCCACCTCAATATAGCCTCATAATGCGGTATATGGTCACCCTAGTTTGGACGGTTACAATGTCCATCCCCATGCTAAGGGTTCCTCTGGAACCCAAATTTTAGGGATGTTCCCTATGCACCCTAGCATCCAATCCAATGAAAAAACAGAACGAATTAGTACTCTAAAAGTGCCTAAAAAACCTCACCCATAGGGTGCCAATAAACCATCCATTTCTTTGAATGGTCAATCTAGATCATAAAGAACTCAACGTCAATTTTTCTTTTTCGCATTTCTCTTTTTTGTTTGTTTGGTGAAGGCAAGGCCATATACAAAATTTAAGTCAAAACAAATCTCCCTAAGGCCTATATTTAACCATCCTTAAAAATGGATGGATTGTATTAACTATAATTTCTGTCTCACCAAAACAAACATTTTGTTAGTTTTTTTTTTTTCTTCCTTTTCATGAGCTTCTTCGCCAATTCAATAATGAGTGTACATTGGGGGCCAAACAAATACCACTATCACCCTAATAATGAGGAGGGTGAACACTATTGTTAGGGTATGCATCCTTCAAAGGAATTGAGAGCTTGTAAGAATTGATATTTTAGTGATATTATAATCCAATGAGAGTGAGTCATGATTCATAGTGCCCAAATGACTCATCTACATGCAGTTATAAAATCCTTCATCCTTGAGCATGAGAGGTATGTGGCCTAATATATTGAGAAGGATTTCAAGGTTAACCCTTGTTGAGGTCGGAGAGATGCACATTGGTGATCAGCCAAGAGAAGAAATACTCCTGTGTGTGGATTGGAGGCTTGTAAAGGCAAGGGCCAAATCCTCAACATAACCACCCCATGGCATCTCTACATGTGAAGCCACATATATATGGGAAGTGACACAACAAGGTCAATGTGTACATGTGTGAAAGAGAGGACCCCCGGCACCATAGTGGTATGTGTACAAGTCCATTGGGACATGACTTGTCTTTAAGGGGAAACCTCTAAACCACGGACTGGTTTGATAGTTTCTGTATTTATTGCTTGGCTTTGATAGACCAAGCATGAGTCATGGCTGAAAGAAGCAACTGTAGAATTTAAGGCAATAGAATAAAAAAAATCTCTTTTTTTTAAGCAATCAATTTGTTCCACTTACAAGTGCCACAATACACTGCAGTAAATAAGGAAACAAACCCTAAATACAACCTAAGACCTTTGCTTTTACTACTAATTAAATAGACACAATCCAGGAATGAAATACGAGCTTCCACTAACAATTTAAGTACAAATAATGTTCCTGAAAATTCAAAATAAATAAGAAAATATAACTGAAAAATAAAATAAACAGATGGGAAGACTTACACTAGAATGCCCCCCATAGGACTTAGCACACCCCACACTCGATTTCTGACCGATAGCGTACTCTAATCCTTTTGCCCTTGCTGAATTTTAAGAGCCGAGAAGCTTCCTTAGGAAATACCTTGCAAAACTAGGGTTTACATAGCTTAAACACAATTAGGGTTAATTAGAATTTGGAACAATTAGGGCATATGCCTTAGGACACCTCCTTTTTCTAGGGCTGGGTGTACTCTTAAATCCTAACTAGGGTTGGTGCAGGCCACCCATTGTAGCTTATGGGGTGGCATGCCACCTAAAAAGAGAAAACTAGAGTGAAGAGAGAAGAATGGGGCATGAAAGAGTGAGAAAGTAGAGAGAGAGAGAGGCTACAAAAAATTGTTGTAGAGAATGAGGGATCCCCTCCTCATATAGGCCTCAAGGGCCTTAAGTATACCTATTCAATTATGACTCATCATAACCAATAGGATTTTCGAAAACCTATGAGGTGAGAGAGAATTAAATCTCATACATCCCATGAATCAATCATCATGATTTAGGGAAGAATATTAAGAACCTTATCCCCTGAATCTTTGACACATATCCACTTCCAGTTAAACTAGGATAAGACTTACTTAAACCTAATCTTCTAGATTGTAGGAATTCAAAAAGATAAAAATATGGTCAAAGATATTATCAAAAACTCACTCCCATAAAAGTACAAAATATTTTTCAAAAGATTTCCTTAACTTAAAAGACATCTTTTAATTTTATTAAAACAAAACTAAAATAATAGAGTGAGATGTGCCACCTCCATGAGTTATAGGCTCCACGTCCCACCCATGTGGTGTGGCACACATGTGGGGCTGTATCCAAGGGCCCCACACGTACCCCCTCTATGCAACTATAATTTCGGATATACCCTTTTCAAGGAATTGAAAGTTGAAATTATTTTTTAAAACTTGAAAAAAAATTAAAATTCATAAAAACATTTCTTTCACTGAAAATAAAATATCTAGAAGTTGATTTGTACCAATGGGTCAAGATAAATACCTGTCAGGGCACCCTACCCGACCTAGTAACCGTATTATCTTCTCAAACCGACCCAACAAGACCTATAACCCACAGTCTCATGCAAGGGCTCATGATTGGAACGTCAAAGTTGGCTAATAAATAGTGCAACCAGAGTCCTATACTGTAGATTACATGTTCCCCATCCTTAATTGCAAGTCACATGCACATATCCCTAGAGTGCAAGGGGGGCTATGTCTATGCACATGTACAGTATCCCTATACAGGGTTGCTTCTCAGTAATGAAGCTTTCATGTATACATACCATGCGAAAGTTTGTTAAGGATTTAGCCTCGCTCTTATAGGCCTAAATCTACACACAGTTCTCATGGCCTACAAAACATCCCTGGGCATCTCTCCAACCTCAACATGGGGTGACCCTCAGTAAACCCTTTGGGGTAGTGCCATATGCCCAGGGGGTAATGGTTTGGGCCATATAACCAGGGCAGCTAGGTTAGTTAACCAACACATACACTCCCACCGAAGTGTATAAATAATATTTAAATGTTCTCACAATCTTTAAAGGCCACAAGCCCTAACACTTGCAAGACAAAGTCGTGGGTCATGGGTTCTATTGAGTTGTATGGAAGCTAGTAAATGGAGTGCCTAAGTAATTTTTATTCCAAATCCTATGGATCTAATTATCGTTTAATGATTTTTATTAAATAACTTGTTTTTAAATTATTGGAGAAGCATATGCAAGTGGTGTATGCACCCTACTTGGGCCCAATAGCCAAGGGCCCACATGTGGGAGGGCCCTCCTCCTTGGAGCATGGTGGGACCCAAAGGATCCACTCTTTTCTCCTTTTCTTTCCCACATGTGATTCTCTTCTCTCCTTCTAGATGGTCCTTTTGATAGGAACAAAATTTTAGTCAAAAGGAAGAGATGGTTTTCTAGATGATTGATAGGATGTTTAAGAGGTGAAAAGATTTTGGAAAGTTCAGAAAGCGAATATTTACTTTTCCATAAAATTTAGAAAGGCTTCTAAAAATTATTATCTGCTGCCTTTTCTCAAATTAAAAGAGAATGGGTTGTGGAAACTAAGAGATAAAGGTTACAAATCCTTACCTTCATCATTATGGCTGATTTAAGAAATGGAAGGCCCATATTAATAGCCTCTCTTCACACTCATGGATCACTGCAGATGGACAATCCACATGGCTCCTACGTAAAGATGGCAAAACAATAGCCCTGCAAACACCATAAATGGGGGTCTTCTATCCACCCTAAGCTGTGAGAAGTCTCTCTCTCTCTCT